GATTTTAATTTTTCAAATAAGTTTACTCAATATTTAAAAAACACTCAAATGAAATATTTGCATGTATACATTTTGTAATAATAGTAAATATATCAATGATTTAGAATTTAAATCATAGCTATAATAATATATTTTTTAAAGTTTTTTAAAAATATAATAAAATCTTTGAGAGCCTTTATTTTTTACTTTTAAATATTTAGAAACATTAAACTTAAGTGTAACAAAACACATTCTAGCTTAGATGGTCTACAACTAAACTAGATGTTTAAGAGATTAGATGTTCACCCCTCCCTCCCCTTTGGATAAAAATTTTTTAAAACAAATTTCCAAAATTATAATAATGGTAATTGGTTCGACCAGTCCGATCGGCCGATTCCACTTTTTAAAACAAATTTCCATATATATACATATATACATATATATATATATATAGGGGTTGATTCCAATAAGAATGAGTCACTACGAAAGAAATAAGAATAAACAGCATCCATTAGATCTGATGAAACTTACGGCTTGGATTTAACTATGGAATTCAATTTAATTTTGGTAACTAATAAATAGGGTATATTTAAAATTGGAGATATTCTCTTATAGGGGCAAATTAGGAACATAGGTGCACCACTTTCCCACGTCTAAACTGCTAGGATTAATTATCATGAATAGAAAGTCTTCCTTTCTCAAGATATCCTAATTAAATTAGCCGGCTGTATTCACACCGCCTACAGAGAAGACCTAATCGAGACGATTCCGAAGTGATGATTGTCGACAAGTAGCGTACAGGTGCACGATTTTCTTGAATTTCAACTTTTGGAAATTAGGTGCGAATCACTATTACATTCATGAACACCCTCATTATCTCGATCAACAAGATTCTTGCATTTGAAGAGATTATCATTCACTTAACTCCTTTTCCCCTCTCTACTATTTGAAGTTGGTGATGCATTTTGATAGTGATATGTGCATCTGCATTTTGTTCTTAAATTAACCCTTGTAGGAGATGCATCATGAAAGCTTAATAGTGCATTATGTTCTGCTTTCTTCTTATTTGTGAGTGAGTTGGTGATGCATTATAACAGTGATATGTGTCATAGTGCATCCAGCATCATGTTGGGTAATGTTTATGCGGAGTAATTTTGATGCTTTGGGTAATGGACTTCATAAGAGATAGAAAATGATTTGGTTAGACTGTATTTGTGATTTGCTGCTGCAAATTTGGTGAGTTTGCCCATACTTTAATTCTGGACAAATACGACTATGATTTTGCTCTTGTCAGTGTTATTAGAGTGTCTTTATTTGTGATCAATTTTAATGATGAGATGCTATGATGTCAGTTGAGAATTATATTCTATAAATACTTTCAATTCAAAACATAGGAAAAAAAGAAAGAATGGGTGTCTTCAATAGTTGGGATATTCTTTTATTTCTTTTTTGGTGGAATGAATTAGTGCAACTACACGTGGAATGACACACTTTTGATAGATGATATGGTGTAAAATTAATTTTTTGATAGGTCAAAGTGCAATATAAAAAATTATGGGTATCATCATCATATTGTGCTCCTTATTAAATCTTGACAATGCATTTAAATTTTTTAACAAATAATGGCCAATCACAATGTACCAAGAAATATATTTTTTACTTTTGTAACTTATTACGGAGTAGAAAACTATTTATTGCCTATTAGCTCAAATGGTAGAGCGATATGCACCTGCATATGGATGTGGGTTCGAATCCCTCATAGGCAGTCTTTAAAAGCGACAATTAGGTGTAATCATAGAGTGTGGACTATAGATTACATCTACGTTGCTCAAACAATCTTTTGTTTAACTTGAAAGTGCTTTTTGATCAAATGTAGATCAAAAGGTCACAAAAAGCATTTTTTGTGTCTTGATGTAACTCAGAAAAGCATGTATGATACAATGATATTGGAGCCAAACACATCATTTCGACATTGATTTAGTTTTAGGTAAATAACGGTCTAGATAAAAATGTAACATTTGACTTTTTTTTCCCTCTAACTTTATATGAGGTTTTTAGAAAGTCAATGCATCGAACGTAAAATGAAAACAATATTTGCCTATGTGGGATTCGAACCCACATCTGAATGCAATTGCATTCTGCTATACCCATTAAGCTAATAGGCAAGAGTTTTTTTACTTTAGAAAATGCTTAAAACGTTTATTAATTAGTACAATGTGGTCATCAACCTTGTACAGTACAAAAAGATTATGGACTATTTTTTATACTTCTATTTATTGTATGTAACATTACACAATGTACTGTAAAAAAAAGAAAAGAAGAGAGGCATCAACTCTTAGTTTAAACTTATCTAGTTGAGATTAAAGTTTACACTAACACATCAAACATGTCATTCTGCTGCACCAACGGTAGATGGTTATAAATTCATATTCCCAAATTTATCAACAAACACACATAATCTTAAACATAAAAGAGTTCTACTTATTGTTAAGAACGAGTGCCATCCTCTTAAAAGTACCAAAAACACGCAGGAAAAAAACCAAGATGACATTAGCAGCTGCACAAAATTTAATCCTATTATGTTGGTTCATATTTTTTGAACATAAATCATTTACTTTAGGACATCAATTACACAGAATCTACCATATAAAGTAAAAATGAATGAATAAGGAGTGGATTGTAGAAAGAGTCAACCCATGAACACAAAACCAGTACAGAGTTGTTGAGTGTATGTAGTACCAAAAGCACATAGTGCATTACAAGGCTATAAGAATGACATTTTAGGAATTAAAGAGTTCACAATAAAAACTATTGAAATAATAAAATAATAGGATTAACAACTACCGAATATATTCAAGGATATATTAAGTGAATACAAGAGCAAAATCAAACTTGTGATATTCAAATTATAAAGACAAAGTATTGGGGTATCTAGTCCTAGCAATTTGTCAAGAGCATTAAAAAAATATGATCAAAACAAAAAAAAACCAATTTTTACCTAAATAACTAGAAACATTAAAAAACTAACAACCACCATGATAAAATATATTGGTGGATTAATGTATATTGTACCAAAATATGGCTATTAAAGGTTGTGTGCACTACAAAAAATATAGAGTGCATTACAAGGCTATAAGAATGACATCTTATGAATACAATATGCATAACAAAAAGTAATGAAACAACATAATAAAATGATTGAAAAGCACTTAATATACTCAAGGAATATTTGAGAGCATGCGTGAAACCAAACGTGTGAAAATTCTAATTACGAACACAAAGTACTAGGACATCCAATCTTTAGAATTTGCAAAGCGAGTATAAAAAACAAAATCAAAACAAAAAACCCAATCATTACCAAAATAGCTAGAAACATAAAAAATAACCAACATGGCTGTAGAATGCACTA